TCTTTTCACTATTAAACCTTAAGTGAACCTCATGATCTGTTTGAGAAGAAGTGTTAAAGAATTGATTTTAGTTTTGTTCCTGAGTGATGATTGTTGATGACTTCTTGCAGTGGATGGGTCCCGCCCACCTGTCTCCCTGTCTGGACGGGCTAGTCTTACAGCTGGCCATCTCGTGTAACTCCAACCCTCGGCAGACGTGTGTTAGCTTCAAGTTAGACGGCACGGCTATGTGTAAGGCCAATGTTGATTTGATTATATGGATGACATCCTCTGGGAACCCCAAAACTGATGCGCGCGTGACGAATAAAAAAAGTTTTGACAAAAAAAAAGTTGCTTTCACTATGAAATCTACGTGGTCATGAAGTTTGAACAAATGGCACAGAATATGTTATGGCGAATAATCTACTCTTCGAATTCATTTCTTTACATTTTTGTCTTTTTTCCTTTGATTTTGGCATTCTTCGACATTGGTATCGTTTCTAAATGTTTTCCTTGCAACTTATGGTATATTTTTGCTCATTTAGCAACTGTTTTGCACGATTTACAGTATGGTTGAAAACTTTTTTTTTTTGGAAACGGCGCGCGGATGTCATCCATAAAATCAAATCAACATGGCCTTACTGATATAATAATAGCTAGCACGCATAAACCTACTCAACCTTGCCCTTGGAGATACAAGTAAGACTTTATTGCTTTATTTTATGCTGGTGATGTGGGATCAAAAAAACACTTCAATAAGTAAGTAAGGCTGAATTAACAAGACACCGTAGCTATAACGTAGCATTCTAAGCAGGTTATATAACGCATGTTTGGAAAACACTTGAGTAAGCAATGCTGGTTAGGGACCTCAATGAGCCTTTTGGCAATATCTTGAACTACGGTAACTCCTATCACCTGTCAATCTTCATCCAAATTGTCCTCTAAGTTAAGACTTAATTGCTTTACTTTGAGCAGGTTATGTGTGTTGGAAAAACACTTCAGTAATTAAGCAATGCTGGTTAAGGACCTAGGAGCCTGTTGGCAATACATGTATCTTGAACTACGGTACTCCTTTCACCTGTCAATCTTCATCCAAATTGTCCTCTAAGTTAAGACTTAATTGCTTTACTTTGAGCAGGTTATATGTGTTGGAAAAACACTTCAGTAAGCAATTCAGCTCCTTTCAGGTTAAATTACTATTATAATTGGCCCTATGCCTCCCGATTTCAGTTCCAATTAAAAGCCAAAAATTGTGCAGCTGTGCACCTAATCATTAACTGGGTACACTAGCACGTTGGCAGGACATTCTGCGCCTGAAAACCCCCATTTTTCACGTTTTATGTTGGATTTTTGGTCAAGGTTGCATCAGAATTTTGCCTCTTGCAAACGATATCTTTTCTGACATAACATATGGAAACTACAGACAGAGTGTTAACCCATATATGCGCTAGTACGACCTTATTAGCTATATATGAGACGTTCAGGTTTTGCGCAGGTGGAGTATGTTCTGCCGACATGCTAGGTACACTACTGGTAGTCTACTCTACTGTAAGGTTTGAACCACTTACACCGGGAAGGACCCTTGCTCTTCGTTTAACGTGCTTGAGGTGTGCCTCTCCTCAAACACGGGACCTCCATTTAATGTCCTACTTAAGGGACATCCCTAACCGAAGCTAGGTACTCATTTCCACCTTAGTGAAGTGAGAAAAGTCGTGTAAAGTACCTTTCCCAAGGGCATAGCATCATGCCATAGTTACAATTTTCCCCCTGTAAGGCCACACCAATTTAATTTCTTAGTTAACGGATTTTTCTAGAAAAACAATGGAGTGGGCGGGCAAAAAAAATTAAAAATAAAAACAGGCCTAGGCATCCTATTATGGCCCAAAATGGTACGATAGGAGCCATGAAGTCAACACACCAGGCTGGTTCAAAATCTAAACAATTAATTTTGAACTTTTAATGATACCATTGCATTGAAAGATGGAATAACTGAAACAAATAGGATGAAAAGGACTGTTTTCAACTGTTCAGGGCAAAATATGAGCATTTTGCAGTTGATTCTGAATTTTTATTTTTATTTGCAAATCAGAAAAAAAATGAAGCGGGCGAATCCGTTAACCAAGAAATTAAATTGGTGTGGCCATAATTTTCCCCCTGTAAGATCAGTTTAGAGATTACTGTAGGCTACCTTTGCGTAGATGTTGTTGAGTCGATGGTAGAAGTATCGTACTGACAGACAGCCCACGCTGAAGTAGGGACTGAGGCCGGTGGTGCTGGGTAGGAGGGAGGTGGGCGCTGTCTTCGGCTTCTCAAACTGTGTGATCCAACCCTGGAATACACAACACAATATACACAACACTTGGAGATTAGAGCTGCTACATCTTCTACTATATCAGGGCTGGAAATACCACCTGCACATGCAGGTTACTCTCATCTGCCTAATAAACATACGGGTACGTTTATTTTTTTGGGCCCTAACATCCACCCAGTACGTTCTTATTTTGCACAGTACGTTTATTAATTTTTTGAAAACCAGTAATTTTTTTCAACTTCGTGTGAAAAAAATTGAAAAATCATTGACGTGAAGACGTTTATAAACGCGTATTGTAGCGAGAAACTTGTCATTTTCGGGCCGGTTTTTGCAATCACCGCGTGCATAAATTCGTCTGAATGTTCTATTGTCATGGGTGGTGCTTATCAAAATACGAAATATTAAATGCCCCATTTTTTTGTCTATTTCAATTCCTAATTGCAAATAACAGTTAAAGATTTGTGCATATATCAGTAAGGGCGCATTTTAGTACAAGAGACACAGGTTACCCGTCAATTTTGGTAATTTTCCGGGGGGTACGTTTATTCCGGGGGTATGTTTATTTGATTTTGAAGATTTGTCTGGGGGGGTACGTTTATTCCGGGGGGTATGTTTATTCGGCAGATGAGAGTAGTGCAGGTAAAATTGGAGTTGTGCAGGTGTTTCTGATGTCTACCTGCACTGGTCAATGTACTGAGTTGATCATAATGTGCATATGTACACATGTAGGTGTATGTGGATTTTATTTGCTAATTTTCATTAATTTGTTACCAGCACAGGTATGTAGAAAGATGTCTTTCGAGTCCTGACTATGCACTATAGGTGTCACTCCATCACAAGGTAAAATCTGCAATCTACAGATTCAATGTCTTCTCATCTTTATGCAACATTTTCTATTACTCTCAAAGAAAAGGGCTTTTATTTTACAATGAAAAAGCAGCAAATAAAGCTCTGATGAGTCATGTTTTGTCTTGAGTTTGATGCAAAATCAACAGCTATTTGAGCTCTTCTTTATCAAACAATACTTGCCTTCAAATGTTATAGTGAGAAAAAATGGGTTCTTTTTCTTCAGTTTCCATATTCAAGAACAGAAGCCTTTGATTGTGAGTGAAAATGTACTAGTGTAGGACCATGAAAAAGTACAACTACATCCTGTACTTATTGTTTGTTTTTAGTAATTTTACGAATGGAAATATAGTCCTGGACCTTACCTGATTCTGTAGATGTTTCTCCACCCTTCTCAGTCCTTCAGTCTCCCCTCCTACGAACTTGAAGGGATTCTCACACTTCACTCCTAGCTCCTCTAGAGTCACCATGTCATATTTCTCGTCGTGTAAGTCCTCGGGAGGGAGGGAACAGTTGGCGAAATGCTCAGCCGTAGCCATTTCGCTGGCCTGGGGAGGGGCGCCGAAGTCCCTCAGGACCTTTTGGAACTTCCTGTATGTGAGCGGCGCCGTGCCTCCGTTGTATTCTATAATCCTACAGTCAAACAGATAGCACAGATTTTATGTTTAAAGTTCAAATTTTTGTTCCAACACAAAGGATGGTTCCCACCTAGAACTTTCAACCATGGCATAGCCAGTCACTTAGTACTAGACAATAGATTGTTTTTTGAAGATAGTTTTCTTCAATAGATTGACCCAGTGAGACTTGTGTGACCTCAATACTGGGTGAAAGCTCTAGGCTAGATAACCATTCTTACTCACACAATCTTAGTGTTGAAACAAAAGTGTTAACCTAAAACATGTAACTACCAACACAAATGAACTTTCATGCCACAAAGTGTGGTTTAAAAACTATCAAAAACGTTACAATTAGATGATTTTGAAGAAGTAAGGTGTTTCTACAATTCACACAATTTTGATTTTGAATCATATTTTTTGTGACTCTCCTTGAACATGCAACAGTAGTATTATTCAAAATCCATTCTTCTATAACATTTTTTATCGCAAGTGTAAATTTCCTCTCAATCTTATTCTTTTTTTTTCGATATCCTTTCATATTGACTAAAAACATGTTGTTTATGACTACAGAGTGAAGGTTATAATTAGACATCCAGTAATAAGATACAAAAAAAAAAAACAATTACTCAATCAATTTCCAAAATCATATTCAGTTGCTTGAGTAACTGTTTTTCTTTTTGGCGTACTGCCTACTTACTTGTCGATGTTGTACAGTGTGTGGGCCACGTAGTTCACAACTTCCACGCCAGCGTCTGTCGCGATCTTCCTCACCGCCGCGTCCCGGAACCGGTGGTAGTGTTCCGTCTCCACGTCGTGCGTGAGCTGCGTGATGTTCCACCTCCGGAACTGTTCCCTAAAGAACGTCTCCGCGCTCCCGCGGACCACGAACAACCGCAGCCCGTACTTACGCAGCCTCTCGTCCAAGTCCTCGAGGCACTGGATCATGAACCTCCACTGGTTGGCCCCGCAGCGAATCTTAAAGTCCTTCATGAAGTCTAAGTCCAGGATGTAGACGGGGTAGACGTGGCGCGACGTGCGCAGGGCGTGCAGGAGGGACGGGTTGTCGTGGAAACGAAGGCCCTTGCGGAACCAGTGGATGGTGTTGTGCTGCTCCTGGACCTCCATGCCGACTTCCTTGTTTGTCATCTCAGTGCCTGGAGAAAACAAGTACGATTTACTCACAACTACAGTGGAAGGAAAAAAGGGATCTCGATCCAGTTTTACATGATGTAGCTTGCTCTCCATCTGGTTGTGACAGAGAAAGCAGATGGTTTTTACAGGTTCTTTGTACCAGGGAAATTCCACTAGCTCTTTCTGACAAGCACAATGAAGAATGGACCACAGCTTATCGTCCCATCATAAGGACCGTGACCCTTTCCAGTAGCGTGCATGTCGAGTGACAATAACCGAGATTCAAACTCCCGACCTCTTGGTCCAGAGGCAGGGTCACTAATCACTATGCACAATACAATATTGTACCATATATACATGTAGACTAGTTGATTTATTCATAACTATAGCTGCATTATATCACAGACTAGTTGAAGGGCTAAACCTCATATACAAGGCCTGAAAAACTTGTGCATACATGGTAGTGATGCATACCGGTTCACTAGACTTGTATCCGGACTTGTAAGAATGTTTAGGTTCAAGTCCAAAAAAACCTAAAAGTCAAGAACCGAGTCCGGACTTATTACCATAAAAGACCATTTCACATACCCCTTTTCTTTCCAAACCACCTAAAACCTTCCGTAGATTGCAAAATCTTTGCTGCAAAATGAAGAAAACATTGCCATCGGGCATCGTCAAGTGTCGGCCTCCATGTTATGTGGCCAAAGTTTCACCCAGACAACATTGCGAGGTTGCCAACATGCAATTTTGTATATGCCATGGGTTTATGTCCAGAACTGAACCTAAACCTCTGGACTTGAATCTGGACCTGAACCTAAAATTGTGTTTAGGTATGCATCACTAATACATGGTGGTATTTTCATCCCTGGTATAAAATACTGCAAGGAAGTTAAAGAATTTAACCTCCTTGAATACAGTGATTTAGCGGAATGATCTGCTTAGAAGTCCAGAATCAATTTGAAATATGGAGTGAATTTTGATGTGCAATACCGGTAGTAGCCAGGCAAGACCTGTGCATTAGCAAGACCAATTTACAAGTACTCTACCCTTGCTGTTACTACAGGTAGTGCTAGTTGTGCTTAATGATTAATATTATAGATATTACACGTACAATGCATATATTGCATGTAGTATAAAATGGTATGTCGTGCAAAGTTACGTGACATCATATAATGATCAGCCATTTTCAGAAAATAGTATAATATTACATGTATGACTGCTGGCAGCACTGAAATATAGCATTAAGTAACCTGGAATTTTGTGGCTCACGACGGACAAAAATTTTGCCTAATCTATCGTCAGTTTGACAATCAAAAATTGGCGTGTAGATATAAAAATTGGCATACAGGTATGTAAAAAGATGTTATTAAACTAAGCTTAGTCAGAAAAACTTGCCCCTAAAAATGAAGGAAATAGCATTTCAGTGGATCAACATATCAAAATTTTCCAGAGCTTGCTTCGATAGGCCGCTGTGAAGGGATTCAAACATATCTGTGAACAAAATCTAACGTTAAGACAATAAGCTAGCCCTTTGTGTGTGATCTTTAACTAAAATCAAAAAGAAAAATAACAGAAAAAAGCTGGCCAAATTTGCTCAATAGAAAATCTTACACCCTGGACCCATTTAATATACATCACTTATTCCAATTGTTAAGTGTTACAACTACAAAACTCTACATAGGTATAAATAGTAGCATTCAAGCATCTCTTGAAAAAATAACAGAAAAAAGGGCTTTTTGTTCAAATTCTGCCCAGTCTGGACAATGGACTCACTCATGGTACATTTAATATATTCATGAGTGTTACAGAGCTACTGTACAGGACTCTACACAGATATAAATAGTAACAAGCATCTCTTGACACACTTATCAGGCAGAAGTGGGTACTTGACTTAGAGGTGAAGACAGAAAGGGCTTCCATGTCTATCTGCACAGGACTGTACCTAATGGGGACATAAGGGGCTCTGCATGTTAAAAATCACCACTTCAGCGACCATGTCTTTGTTACGTGTTGTACGATATGCAGTCAACATTTGTTACTGGACATAACTAAGCTTCTTTAACAGTCATTAAAGGCATCCAACGCAATTTTTAGGACAGCAAAACTGGAAATATTCTGAATTAGGCAACCTGTATGATATTGACTCATACTATCCTACATAAGTACATTTGGATCAATATTTCATACTTTAGGCTAAACGTTTAGGCATTTAAACTACAAAAAATTAAAACTGCAGAAACAAGCCCCAAGATTAGTCCTTTATTTTCTGGGTGGTACCCTAAAAATCAATCCAGGTCCTTCCAGTAACCGTTTTTCGTCAGAATTTGGGCATTTTTGCTCAATGAATATTGATATACATTGCTGTTTCAACTTAGTATGTAGATAAGTGACTAGAATATTGACTTTGAAAAATCTGGTTTCCAAGCCCTAAAACTGCACTGGATGCATTGGCTGTCAGAGAAGCCTGGCCAGTCAAAATACATTTCCACCACAACACAACAGTTTTCTCTAAACTGCTTTACAAGGAATTAAACATTCCTACCATAAAATAATCTCTTTCGTTGTGATAGAAGATACTACGAGTAGTAGTACAAATGATGACAAACATACTCAACACACAACAAAGACATACTACAAATTATGAAAAATGCAAACACAGATGCAGACAATGACATACCTACATGCATTTGCCAGCCTTTTGAAAAAATGTTTTAGCCCTTACCAAGTATTTGCTCATGTATCTCCTATCAAAATGTTTGGTTTTAGTCTTTGTACAGTACTACAGAAAGTACATGCAATTTCTCTGAATTTTTTATTGCAATGTTGTTTACAAAGAGTTTGCCGACAATGTCTAATGTAAAGGGGGTCTTCTACAATTAACGGTGAATCAAAATAATGATGATGATGATGAAAATAGCCTGCTATGCCTCACAGAAAAAGGGGGGTGCAGACTCTCTATAAAAAGTCATTCTTTCTTCCCAGAACAAAAAAAAAAACAAAAAAAAAACAAAATGGAGCCCTACAACCCTTATTAGCATCACAAAGAAAAGGTCATAGATTCATACAATCAAATGAATCCCTCCACAAAAAACTGATCTATAAGGGTTTTTACTGGTGAAACCACAAAAGACCCTCTTGGATTACAGAGCAACATCCCAGCGATTTGACAAATGAGGAAGAATGAGGAGGTTGTATTATTTGTAAAAAGGAGAAGAAAGCAGATTAGGACAAATAAAAATAGGAGAAGAATGCACCACTGCAAGAAGCAAGAAGGCAAGCAAATGGGACTATGAGGGCCTGCAAAGGGGGGTAGTGATTACGAATTACGCAAAAGTTTCGCCGCCTATTACGAATTACGTTAAAGTCTCAGAGCTGATTACGACTTTACGCTTTGCGGCTAATGTACTATTACGGATTACGTTGATTTTTGCAGATTACGCCTGATTACGCCTTACGAAAAAGGGCTTGCAGGCCCTCGACTATGTGCCGCAGAGCGAGAGCAGGTAAATATAGATAAAAGCAACAACAAATACAATGTAGCTTCTTTAAGGTTATACTTCTGGGTTTGGCACTTCAATCAACCTTCAAGGATTTGACAGATGAGGTTAACGGGAGAAGGAGACACAATGAAAATTAGCGCCCTTTAAGTGACATTCGACTCCTTAAACCTCCTTGACTTAATAAGATGCATTGATATGATAATTTGTTAGAGGTTATCCAAGGATATGAATATCAAACTAGCAACAAATTGATCAAGTTCTGAATATCATATGCACCATTATCCAAATAGAAAATAAAAACAAAACGCATTCAAACAATCATAGATGCCACAACAAGCAAATACACAAACACTAAACAACAAATATTTATCTAAAATTAAAAAGATAAAGAGAAAATATTTTTGCCACAAAAGGCGACGTTTCTGGGTCCTGATATCTTCCTCGTCCTTCGGAGCTGAAGAAAGATCATATATCAAGTATAACGGTATATATATACGGTTTTACGTTCGCCTACGCACGTATTTTCCATACGCTTATATAACATGTCTCTGACGTATGGCTTATATAATGTGACATTTCCTGGAGTTTATCCTGGTTTATGACTCCGGTCATCCTGACATTATATAAAAAAAAAGGGATTTAAAAGCTTTGAACTCTAAACATTATGCTCAAACAAATAAGTTAACCAGAAAGTTTCGAAAGAAACAAAGTTTTTGTTTGTTTTTTGGGGTGGGGAGGGGGGCAAACCGCGAAAATTAAATGGGGTCACGGGCGGTCAAAAGAGGTTAGAGACCTTCGTTTGCAAAGAAAGATGAGCAAAAAGTAAGTTTTGTATAGCTCAGCGTACTTACCAGAATATAAAATAGCATGTTACGGTTCAAACTTTGCGAAAATCTTGCAGAAATTCCATGAAAACTTCATAAAATTGAAAATTATGCTAAAAATTGACCATCCCTGGAGCTTGGGGCTTCCGACTGAGGCTGTCCCTAATTTCTTGACGCTATGCCCGTCAACATGTAACGTTATTTCCGTACATCCACCAATTATATTCACCATGTGTCTAAACTAATCTAAGAATAAAAAACAGTATAATATATAAACAACTGTATACGTTGGACAATTTATATACTGAGGTTAAAATTATTTTACAGGATCCGATTTATGACAACTGCGGCTATACCCGGAAGTAAAAGGGGCCTCGGCGTAAGGGGAGGACACCTTTCAAAAGTGATGCGTATATGACAGAAATAATCATGTTTTCGTCCTGATTTTGAGGATTTTACGGTGTAGAGAGTGAAGATATTTTGTTTAAAGGTTTGTAGAGAGATCTGATCGCAATGGATGCCGACGGCTTGCCTTTAGTAGGCCCTGGAGTGGACTATACTAAGGTATGTTAGGTTTTTATCAAGGTTTTATAATTCAAACATCGATCTCGTGACTTTCAATTTTAGCATGCCCGTAGCCAGGGGGGTTCGGGGGTTCGGAAGAACCCCCCCACAAGGCTCAAAGGTCCACTTTTTGGTCCACTTTTTATGTAAAGGTCCACTTTTTGGTCCACATTTTATGCAAAGGTCCACTTTTTGGTCCACATTTTATGTAAAGGTCCTAGATTTTTCTTGAAAAGATAGACTGGAATCGTAGAAAAACTGCTTCCTTTGTCATTGAATAAAAATTTATCTCTGATTTTTTCTTGGAAATCCTCTCAAAAATGCACGAAATGCCATTTTAAAAGGTTCATTTTTCAAAATTTTCCGGGGG